GGCGTTTTGGGCAACGGAGGCTGTCAGGGCCGGGACTGCCAGTGATCTCAACAGAGCCATTGAGAAATGCGGTTTGTTCGAGAAGGCAGTACTGATTTGTCTGATTCATCAAGATGAAAATAGTCATCATCAATTCAAGAACACACATTCCGAAGGTGGGAGGCGAGCAACACCAGCGGTATTAATAGAAAGCCCGCAAGCACACACACACACACACACACACACGGAACGTCCTCGAATCGCGGAGAGGCCCCGACCCACGGCCATGCGCCAGTCCCATCAACCCATCAACTTCGCTGCAACTATTGATATGCCGGCGAGGTCGGAAATATTGGCGGGGGAGCAGGTTATCAGATGATCAGATAACAGATATTAGATGGAGCTTGCCACTTTCATTGGTCCGTCCACGCTAGTCACGCAGCTCCTTGATGCACCGCAGACAAGTTTCTGCTTTGGCTGCGAGTGCATGGGAGCGAATTGGTTTATTGGCTGATGGCGAATCCCCCAAGGTGATAAACTCAAGACGCTCCTCCGATCGGCGCTGGGGGTTTGACCAACGACTTGGCGAGCCTTGCCCAGGATCCAGTCCAAGGCCAAGAAAGATCCCCAGCAGAAAATGTGACAGGAGACCCAAGTAGAATCGGGCAAACTGGGAGAGGCACTTTTGGGTTGCATGGAGTCTGCGCGTGTTGTTCATGGCACTCGGATACAGGGATTGCGTTCGCTGCTGTTGTATCCGGTCGAGCTGTATATAAGGAACCGTGCTCCAGGAGTTTTTTCCCGGTCGGTTTCTGTTAGCCATTCTGTAGAATCTCCATTAGCCTCTTCCAAACCGTCACTCGTTTGAGCACCGCGTCCACAAAGATGCGTTTCACTGCTTCTGCTCTTGTTATCGGCTCGGTGGCATCCCTAGCCTCGGCCGTTGCCAAACCGGACTTCAGCTTTCCCGACGCTGTCCCTATGGCGAAGCGTCAGACCTCGGGTCCTGCGTAACAATGCCAGGCCAGTTGTGGTCGGTACACCGCCGTGTGCGCCCAATAGCGTGGTCTCCGCCAGACTAACATGTCCGTAGGATATGCCATCCAGAACTCCGCCAAGGATGGCTACTGTCGGGACCAGTCCTGGGCGAAGCTCCTGGACGACTGCCTCAACTGTGCCCTCAAGTACAATATCTGGCGGTGGTATGGCGACAAGGTCAGCGTCGCCGCCGGGAAGTGTGGTCTTGATGCGACTCCCAAGCCCGTTGAGGACGGCGGTTCATCCCAGGTTAGATCGGAGACCGCAGCTCCCAGCACTGCTCCCATCACCACGGAAGCTCAGCATACGAACGCTCCGGGCCAGACTACCCATGCGGAGAGCCGTTCGGTTTCGGGACCAGTGACGCCTACTTCTGCCGTTCAAACCACCGCGGCGCCTACTGTAGCCCATGGTCACAATTCTGTAAGTGTATGGAGCATATTCTCGGAACACTGCTTACAAAAATGGTAGACCGCCAGTCATGCTCCAACCATCACCGCCGGGGCATCGCAAAACATGCTTTCCGATCATGTCGTACCTGCAGTGGCCGTTCTGGTTGCCGCCAACATGTTCTAATTTTGCGGATTCAGGATACGGGCATGAAGGATCTTGATGACAACGCCATGCGAGCATATACTTAAAAGCCAGAAGTCGATCCATTCGTACGACAAATATATAATACAATGCCATTTAATACAGTTCGTGCTCCAAGTGCCCATAGTAGCTCGTGACTCGTTCTGAAATATATTCAAGGAGAAAAAAAATTTCACTTCAGAGCCATGCCGCCAAAGGCCCTGTCCAACTCTGCTCCCGTATCAACAGCCGCCGGCTGTGCCGTCTTATCCTCCATCGGCGGTGGATGTTGTTGTTGATGATGTTGCGCTGTCGCTCCCGCGCTCGGCCCAGCCTGTGCCGACATTCTCTCTGGCTGCAATAACCGTGATTCACTGTCCAACCAACCGGGTGCGACTCTCCTCTTCTCGGCTAAATCGCGTTGCTTGATCTGCTCCTCGAATTCTTGAAGTTCCCTCTCAGCACTCTCTTGGACTTCGGTAACGTGATCCAGAAGCGCTTTGCACGACACAATGATATCGTCAGGGTGTGCGGCATGGCCAGAGCCCGAGACGACGAAGCGCGCTTTGGGCTGTTGGGAGGGGTCTTCGGACGCCGTGGGTATGCCCATTGCTGAGGGAGGGATATTGGAGGGCATTGTCTTGTAGTTGTAGGAGAGCGTGGTTGCCGTTGGGAGAGATACAAATGGGGACACGGTGAGGGGGACCTGCTCTAGCAGGGGATGAGGGCCTATTTTGCTGTTAGCTTAGTAGGGCGCCCGGGGGGGGAGGGGGCAAAGCAGGTGGCGCATACGATTGTTGTGCATGATGTATGTTGGGTATGTTCTGCCCAGGCGCGATTGTTGATGAGGAGTTCGTCACGAGCCTGTGAGAAGAAGTCCGTAGGGGGGCGGTCGAACAGGTAAGAAGGGTGTCCGGTGTGTGTTGTGTCTTTTTGCGTGTATGAACAGCTCGAAAACTGGAGTTGAAGAGTGGAGATGTGGACGATGAGGCCATGCTTCCCGAGGGCCTCGAGTCTCGAGAAGACGACGCGAACTGCCGTTGCGATGGTGCTCTCGCTGCGGAGAATCGTCATGCCCCCACTTCCGATAAGATAACTTACGAGTTGAACTGGTCAGTTCACCTTCAGAGCTCCCCCCGCGATGAATTTGCAAAGCTCCCGGCACCAGCGTCCTCCAACCAGACAGCTGCAGTCCTCTCGACTGTCTCCCTCCTCGGCGCCCATCATGCTCGCCACGACGATACGGTCGCCGCCCTCGGTGGACGACTACACCCCCCTCTCCGAGTACCAGTCCCAAACGCCAGAATCGTTCAGCGGCGGTAAGCCAGTGTTGCACTTCCACCTGAAGGGAGCCGTCGCATCCATCCCCAAGTCGCAATGCGGCACGCTGGCCATCTTCCCCGCGGACTCGCCTGCAGCCGAGAATGCCGTGGCGAGCACAAACGGTGACACGGAGGGGCTGGTTGAGCAGAAGGTCGATGTATTTGTAAACTCAGAGTGAGCCGACCCTCAAACCACGACCTCGAGGAGCCGTGCACGCTGACAAGGGGTGTAGACACTTTACAATCTTTAGCGAAAAGACAGAGTCGGGCGTCTCGATTCCCTATCCGTCCATCTCCATCCACGCAGTTAAGCAGGTCAGCGCGCGTGAAGGCGCCAGCACCCCGGCCATATGGATGCAGCTCGAGTTCTCGGACGGCGGCGCCGACGACGACGACTTCAACATGGTTGAGCTAACGATTGTGCCGGCATCAGGCGAGCCGCCCCAGACGGCGCAGCAGCTGTACGACGCCATTGCCAATTGTTCAAACTTGCACCCTGACCCGACCAACGGGGACGAGGACGGGGACGAGGAAAACGACTACGACCGCATAGTATTTGAGGGCAACATGGAGCAAGAGGCCGTCGAGGGGTTCACAGGGGTTTTGCGCGGCACGGCCGACGGAGGACTGCCGCCGCCCATGCCGGGCAGCGGGGGTTGGATTACCGCGGAAAACGTGCACGAGTATTTCGACGAGGATGGGAATTGGATTGGGGGCAGCAATGGAGACGGCGAGGCAGAGGAGCTGGGTGATGGCGCGGGCAGGACAAGACCCAGAGAGGAGGTTGACGACGATGGGGTCAATGGCGACGACGCTGAGAGCAAACGCCCAAGGGTTGAGTAGATTTATCAGGCTACATGGCACTCCGTACTCGTTATACAATAGAGCAGGGCGTTTGGGTGTAGGAATGGGTTAAAAAAACGCAGCTCGCACCGGAGACTGGCTGCTGTTGAGTTGTGTTGAGTAGCCCGCAGCTGGGTCATTGTCCTGCGTGCAATGGGCGTATGAGCGAAATGTCTCGCACATTAGGACAGCTTCATTTCGGTAAAGGCCAAGGTTGTTTTACCACAACCCCGCCATGGACGTGGCAATGACGGCAAGCATGACGCAGAATTGGCAACGTTGCGAGTAGATGAATTGAGCTTTGCAGAATTGGGTCCAGCTCTCCTACTTGATACGACATGGACTGGTCCTCAACTCCATTCACCCGCAGCTCCGGGCCCAAAAATATCACGATTTGGGTAGCTAGTTACCATTCCCAAGAGAAGGAAAGCGTGGGTTCATGCAGACTTGGATTTCTCCGCCCTCCTTGAATCGCCCACATCGCCAATTGGTCATGTGCAGGCGATCCCCTGTCCGAGGCTAACGTCAAGGTTTATTATCTACTACTAGACAAGAGTCCGTCCGTCCCGTCCCGTCGAGGCGACGAGAGCTGCAGCTCGTTCATAACTTATAAAGCAAGGCTTCATTCCCTGGTTCTATTTTCTCTGTTCCTCCCGCCCCATTATACACTTCGACGTTAAACAATGAAGCCTCTCGCCGTGTTCCTGCTCGCCGCCTCGTCGGTCCTCACCGGCGCGGTCGCAGATCCAGTCGTCCACGACGCCGACAAGGACATCACCTACTACGGGCTCAGCCGCAACGGCATTGAAGTCTTTCTCAATATCCCCTACGGCCAAGACACCAGCGGCGAGAACCGGTTCCGACCGCCCCGTCCGCATTCATCTCCACGCGGCAGCGCCATTGACGCCACTGCCTACGGCCCGGCGTGTCCGCAGGCACTGGGGCCGTGGGTGCCCCCGATATCATTGAGCAACATTACCAAGATATCCGAGGACTGTCTGAATCTCAACATTGCGCGGCCCAAGGGCAAGTGTGTCGAGGGCAAGAAGCTGCCCGTGTTGGTGTATATCCACGGCGGGAGCTTCTGGACCGGTAGCAATGAGGAGGTTACCATCCGGCCGGATGGCATGATCCTCGAGAGCGTCAAGAATGGGCTGCCCGTGATCCATGTGGCCATGAACTACCGCTTGGGCTGTGAGTATATTTCCATAGTAACCAGACATATTCTTCCCTTGTCTGTGCCCTGCCCCTTATGGGAGGGCTGGGACAACGACGACAGCTGGGACAACAGCTAATCATCGGCAGTCTTTGGATTCGCACGGTCAGATGCCCTTCGAAAAGAAGGCTCCGAGAATGCCGGCTTGAAGGATCAACGTCTCGCGCTCGAATGGGTTCGGGACAATATTGCGCAGTTTGGCGGCGATCCCAACAAGGTGACCATCTTTGGCCAGTCCTCTGGCGGTATGTATATCCGCAACCTTTAAATCAATTAAAAAAAAAAAAAAAAAAAAAAAAAAAAAAAAAAAAAAAAAAAAAAAAAAAAAAAAAAAAAAAAAAAAAAAAAAAAAAAAAAAAAAAAAGACATTAACAGCACGCCTCAGGCCTCTCCATCGGCATGCACATCATGGCCTACGGCGGCTCCAAGCCCGCGCCCTTCCAGCAAGCCATTGCCGAAAGCCAGGCCCTCGAGCCCGGCATCACGGGCAACTTCACCACCAACGCCATGCAGGCCCTCGTCGAGCACGTCGGCTGCTACAAGACGCACCTCGATTCCGCCGAAACCATCCAGTGCCTGCGCGGCTTCGACACGGACAAGGTGCTCAACGCCTCGCTGGCCACGTACCAGTCCGACACAGCCCACAACATCGGCGACATCTGGCTGCCCTCGGTCGACGGCGACTTCTTGCCCGCGGCGCCCTCGCAGCTCATCAAGGAGCATCGCTTCTCCAACGTGACCACCATGATGGGCTGGTGCGACGACGACGTGACCTTCTTCACCGACGCAAACATCACCACCGCCGCGGACACGTACAACTTCCTCCGGGCGTACGCGCCAGACGTGTCGACGGACAACATCAGCAAGCTCATGGCGCTGTATCCCGCGTCCGACTTCCCGGCCAACACGGCAGCCAACGCGTCCAGCGAGTTCTACCGCTCGGCCAGAATCTTCAGAGACATCGTCATGACGTGCCAGCCCCTCGGGTACGCGGAGCAAATCGCCGCCGCCGGAAACACCGTCTACCTGTACGACTGGAACCAGACCATCCTCGACCCCTTCCTGTCGCAGGTCGTACACCGGCCGGGCATGGGCTCAATCCACACCTCCGAGTTCGCCTACATCTTCGGCAACCTCTCCCACTACGACACGGGCGACTACGACTTCGACCCCAGCCCGTCCGACTACGAGCTCAGGGACCGGGGCTCCCGCTCGTGGTCCACGTACGCCAGCACCGGCAAGCCCAGCCTCGAGGGGCACGACACCTTGCAGGGCTTCACGCCGGCCTTTACGCAAAACGGCCAGGTCAACATCTTTGTCGTCGGCGGTCCCCACGAGGGCCTGTCGCCGATTGACGGGCCCAAGGCCTCTCGCGCCCTCGAGCAGCAGAAGTTGCGGCAGAGATGCGCCTTTATCAACTCGCCCCGGATGATTAAACAGTTGAAGTATTAAATACACAAAAGAGAAAATAAAATAAAACAAAATAAAATAAAAACCTAACTTGGCCACATGATGCCGCTATCTTATACATGGGATGAAAAAAGAAAAAAGAGACAAATGTTCTATCTATGTGACGGAAGAAATATAACCGGGTCCCGGGACCACATCTCACGGGCAAAGAAAACAACGTCTACAAAAAGAATTGAACAATGAGCGAAAATCCAGACCGTAGAGGCCCCCCCTCTCCGCGCC